CACACACACACACACACACACACACACACGCACACACACATGCAACCAAATTCGTGAAAGATGTTTCTGAAGGGTCAACCATGGCTTAGAGGATGGAATGGGCACTTGATCTAGAGGTAACCTATTTTATTTCACATTAACGTTTTTGTAAACGATCCACTTCTAGTCCCCAATGACAATTTGCTTAAAAAAACAATCAATTTTTGTCTCGATAATAAGTAAATGTACCGTTTCATCGCCCTTCTTATTGCTATACCCTAGGCATTGATCCGGAGAAAACCCAAATTCTCGTCATATTCAATTTATCGACGCGTTTCAAGTGAAATTGCAAAGTTGGCCATTGACATGCGAGTTTCTCTGCTAATTACGCTATAGTTAATTGATGATCTGATTCGACCAGGGATTTCAATGCACCATCAACGGAATTTGAAGATAGTTCATTTTTTGCTCAATTATTTCAAATCACATCCTCCCCCCCCCCCCCCCCCGATTCAAATATTGACATCTATGGCCTTTATCTCCTGACCCTAGATTTCGGTTCTGGCGTTCAAGCCCTGTGCAGATCTGATCTGTTCTCTGACTGCTTTGGGGTTGGGTATTTTAACCCTAAACAATAAAATGTTATTGATTTCTCAAGAATAATGGTGGACAATTTATCAACCAGGAAGAAGCTTACGGAGTTGTTTCCTTCACTGCAACTGAAGCAAAACTGGAATCAAACCTCAATTTTCAAAACGCTCGTTCTCCTAATGGTTTAAATAACACTACTAATAATGAATGAGAGCTGTTCGTGTGAGCCTTTAATAGATGCTACGTGTGTACCAACTAACAATGTCAATAAGTTCACGAATTCACTTAAAGGATAAATAAATACTTTCAAGATGATTCATTTTTTCCCACGTTTCTATGTAAATTCCCAACAAAATAGTGAACAATTTAATTCGTTATATTTGTTTCAAAGTTGAAATTCACCACATGTTGTCGCAACAAAATGAACAATTTTTATTTAACAAAAAAATGGAATTTTTGAACATTTATTTTCAGTGTGGGTGGATAAAATCGATCAATAGATTTTGATATAAGTGTTTCAAAACATACTATCAAATATTTATTTATTTATATCAAATGGCAGGCGTTTTGATAATTATCATTAGCCCTTTAGTTGACTTCAGGCTTCACAGAGGGGAAGGAACATCAAAGTGAAAAAAGTCGAGAGGGGGGTGGGACAGAAGAGTGTTTTAACGATGTAAAAGAGACAGATACAAAGGTAGACAAAGGTGAGGTGAGTACAGTGGAAGCAGTCGATTATGACATATAGTGGGGTGACGGTAGTTTGAAGTCAGAAGTCGACTGCCGGTTAATAGACTATTTTGTCGTATGAGTATACGTTGCCCAGGGGGCACCACGTGGAGGTACGTCTATCGCATACCCCACTATCAAATATTATTTTGCAAACAATGATTTGTTTTCACTACTTGAAAGGCTCGTCTATATCTAGCCAATAACGCTATCGAATAGCATATAAAAAAACTTTCACCGTTTTTTTTAAATAATTAAAAGAAAAAGGTGAACTGCAGTAACAAGATTTGTCCTTCTTGATATTACATGATTCGAACCAAAAATATAAATCTGTGGAGCGCACGACGCCTCCTAAGATAATCTCGATGGTGCGACTGCGCTACTGAATGTCGAAACCTATCAGCTAACTACCAATCAATACTCACTGCATTGTCTATTGCCTAGGCCTTGGGAAAGTGACGCACAAACAGAATAAACACAATTCACATCATACGCTCTGTCTCCTGGATATTGTTGAGGTTGTTTTATCTAATCTCGGGAGCAATTTCAAACTCAGGGGATTTTGCCGAAGTGAATGTTGAGGTTTAGTCAAGGTTAATTTGTGTAGCAACTGCTACAACTCTCGATCTCTTTTTAATCGTCTTCCCTAAACTAATTACTGAACTTTCTGTGAACTAATTTGTTTTACGTTATTTGTGTTAATATTAATTGGAATGAAAAATCGTGATTATAGTATAAATAACCGAGGTTTTATTTCAGTCCTCACCTTGATTAGATGTCATTTGAAAGTCAGGCTACGATATCAGTCTGATTAATATTTATTTATATCAAATGGCATGCGTTTTAATGATTACCATTAGCCCCATATCTGACTTCGAACTTCGCAGAGGGGAGCAACATCATAGTGATAAAAAATGAGGAGCAGAAGAGTGATTCACAGATGTAAAGAGACAGAGGGACACTAAGACAGAGAAAAGGTAAGATGAATACTGTTGAAGTATTCGAATATAACACACAGTGGGGTCATAATAGTTTGAAGTAAGAAGTCAACTGCCGGTTAATTGACTTCGTTGGCGTATGAATATACATTGCCCAGGTTGCACCACGTGGAGACTAGGCTATCGCACACCCCCGAAATCTGAAGTTAACGCGTGCTTTCAAAACTATAATGTTATACTACTTCAACTGGCCATTCCTCCACTTTCGATACGTTACAAGGAGGCCTGATTTATGAAAAAACAAACAGAGCTAAGGAAAATAAAGATTACTTTACCAAATTTTTATTTTTATATGCCAATGCTGATTTATTTCACTGACCCAGTTGCTGTTGTTATTGTTGCTGTCGAATAATCAAGTAATTATAATAACCCCCTTGGTTGACAAGGGTATAGACCAATGAATTGTGGAAACATAAACCTAATCAGACAAAATAGGTAAATTAATACTTATTTCAAATGGCAGGCGTTTTGATAGTTATCATTAGCCATTTAGCTGACTTCAGGCTTCACAGAGAGGAGGAGGAACATCAAAGTGACAAAAAGTCGAGAGGGGGGACAGAATAATGATTCACAGATGTGACAGAGACAGACAAAAGA